TTCCTACTGGGAGGATAGTTTTTTTTGTGTTCGTTTTGAGAAACAAAGGCATCCATCCATTCATCGCTTCGCCTCGCGCCCCTTTCGTTTTGGCAGAATAGGTAACACTTACCCTGAAGACGTTCGTGCACGTGTCCTCGAGGCAGCGAAGGAGGGTGAGAACTGGCGATTGGTAGCAGCTCACAACGGCGTTGTGGTGGAGACTGCGCGGGCTCGTCTCGAATTCATGAATGGTCTCGAAATGACAAAAGCTGGTACTTTCGCAGTAATTAGCAAAAAAATAAAAGAGACACCTGTGTGTATTGAACTCAGGCATTGAGTGTTTTGAACTGAGATTTGCCCGGTCCTATGTGCAAGTCGGCTCCGGTCGAACTCCTGTGGTGGGATATATCCATAAATTTTAAAAAATACATATTTAACAATACTGTTGGGACAGCGCTCGTTATTGAAGACAAAAGCACCGGGATAACATCCGCAGCAGTGGTAATAGTCTAATTCAAGCTTCGGATCCTTCGTATTATTATCACAGGATATACGACGCCTGCGGGCGTTATTTTTCGTTGAAGGAGCTTTTTCAGCATTTAAGACCGGTAGAGGTAACGTGGAGTAAAGCTATATTTCCCCTCAAAATACAACTGCGCACTTGCACCGGTCTGAGAAAACGTGTAACATTTATACCAACCACCTAAAATGAGGGAATCCCGGAGTCAAATATGACTACTACATCCCTCGCTGCGGTGGGCAATGGTAAACAAGTTGGCCAATGGAGTCCTGGATAGATGAGTATGACAACAACAAAACTCAGCAATGTGTTTGAAAATGTAGTGGAATCCTTGCACCGCAACGATGGCGGTGAACCAGGCAGCTGGATGTTAGTCGACAGCCTTTCCTTTTCGAGCCATCCAGCGCTCCTCACATCAAGTGGACATGATTGAGGTCTTCGATCATATAGCTGCACAAGACTCTTCGCAGGCCATTTTGCTCCAATTTTACTGTGAACCAGTGCGAAATTACCAGGAGTAAATTTACAACGCTGCTTGGTCGACACCCCAAACGATATTATATTTACCTTTTCTTTCACTCTACCGGTGGAAATGCTCTAACAAGAGAAAACTTTAGTTGTTGGAAAAGCGCGACCTATGGAAAGACGCGAGTCTTACTGGTCTCCCCTTCGTTAATCAGCTTCTTGCCGTTGTGGTGTAAGAACAAAATTTCTCCTTGGGTCATGCTGTACCATAGTCATGCCACAGAACTGGTTGCCAATTACAGAACCTGCAGCCGCAGCAGGGGTTTGAATCATGTGAAATGAGGTGTTGGTCTTCAGCCACGCCAAACGGAAAAGATCTTTGTCTCCATGTAGCAGTTTGAGGCGCTCGAAGTGATTAGGCTTTCGAAGCGCCAAGAACTGCACGATCTCCAGCGCTACTTCCGATCTGCGCCGGTCGATTAATAGTTGACCGCTTTCTTGCTCGAACATGTCCACGTATGGTGTGCCCACCAGCTCCCACAAAAACGATTCTTTGTTAATGTTGAAGATTGTCTTCATCGGGTGCCAGAAATCCGGCCAGAAAATTGCACCATTCTCCACAAATGTCGGTGTCGTAAAGAGATACGTCGGGTCCCTAACTGGCGAATTATCGGCGTCAAGGAACAATATCTGGTCAAGCTCTGAATGCGCCAATGCAAACACCTTGGTGTTAAATCCGTCCACACGTGTTTCTGCAATACCATGCAGTGAAATCGGTCCATCACAAACGATTGCAGAACACGCGACTCGTTTAGCAGATTAGTGCCCCTTTCATTCTCGAGGTACCACAACTCTACAGGCAGCGAGCAGTTGTAGAAGCGCAGTAATCGCACAGTCGAGTAGACGCTCGCAAGAAGCTTCGGATACATGACCAGTAACACGCCGTTCCTCGTTCTGTTTAATCTCCTGCTGCTTGACTGCAATCAGTGCCTCGATCTGTGGCGCGACACGAACGAAATCCACTGCTTGGCGACAATTGAATCTGACTTCGTCACGTAATGACGAGCAGTTGACACGCATGGCCTGAACCTCCTCACCTGCCCCACTCTTGAGTAGGCAATAGCCGGAAGCTCCAGTCGTGATATTTGTACTACAGCTAACATTATTTTGCATTTCCGTTGCTCTATCCGGACCATATCCGCCCACATGATGCCACCCTAGGCACGCGAACTTGGAATCTCCCCTTGTGAACGGCCCTTCACTGTCTAAGAAGGTCTTAAGCGTTGTCTGGAATGTGGTTCCTGTTTCCGCAGACGTCGTCGTTGTATTGATGGCTTGCATGGGGCCGACGACAACGTCACTTCCATAATGCTGCTGTTCGGCGTTGTTATCATTTCGCAAGGACTGGATATTGTGAATGGCTGTCTTTTCCAAGTGCTCTGTTTCGCTCCAAATTACTAGCAGTAGTACCCCGTAAAGAAAGCTGCTAATGACGAGAGCTCGGACTAGCCATCGACGAGCGTTTGACGATCTCTGCAGCATTTGGAGTGAAGTGGGATGACCGCTTTTTCCTTCCGTGGACCGCAAGTAAAAAATGCAATAGTATTACTAGCCTATCTAGCTCAAGGGCTGACAACCCAGAGCCAGATATCATCAATACATCAACGGATCACGCAACGTACGATTGCATATCGACAATCATGTTGACACGCATATTCATAACGGCAAACGTGATCAAACACTTGACCAAACTATAAAAAATCCTACATATTTTACTCCATTAACTTGAAAAAATATTAAAAGAAAAACTAAACTAAACAGAAGCCCAATTCCTCTCTCGATTGTGTGAGCTTCGCGATGTCAATAGCCAAGTTACTGTTCCTCTATGAAAGTACTACGCGACCAGGTTACTGTACTTCTATGAAAGTAAGCTATTCATATATGAAGGTTGTACGCTCTTCTTTTTCGGCAGCAGTACGTGTACAGTAGTACTTCGAAGTACAGTTTTTTTTTGTTTCATGCTAAGCTTAAGTGCTGGCTGTACTAAATTATAACTGTACTGGTAGGTCTACCAAACGTAGCGACGCCACAGTACGTAGTAGTCGATTTGGGCTAGCTTAACTTAGTTAGTTTTAATTTTTTTGG